ATTTGGAAGTTTGCCTGGGCTGTATAGAGGGGGGATGTGAGAAATTTGCCCTATTTTTACAGTTGAAAGCTTCATTGACTCACACAAGATACTTTAGCCTAATATCCTGTGGCATTGCAGTGACCTACATGTAATTATTGCATGCTTTTTCCAAAATATTTGTACACAACCAGAAATTATAACCTAAGTTACCAACCAGTTCTTAGTTTATACCAGCAACACAAAGATGGACTTCAATTAGCGGTAACCTAGCTGTCTGATGTTTTTAGCAATCTTTTGGACAAATGTTTGGTCTTGGTTTGGTGTAATTTTCTGGTTTCCATTTTTCTTAGACAAACATATTTATCCTGTTAAGTAAATGATGTTTTAAAAACTTTCAGCTGTCCCTTCTCCCAGCCCACAATCACTGTCCCCCTCAGTCATGGGGTGATCTCATGTTTGTAGGTGTGCATGTGTTTTACGAGCAAAGATGTGGGGGAAAGGGAGAGGGAAAAAAGAAACCAAACCCAAACTACAAATGGTCTTGGCAATGCCCCATGGTGTCACCCAGAAAATGTCCTTTCTGCTCCCACCTTTACCTGTCTTTTGCAGCAGGGAAAGTTGGAGCGCTTACATTGCTGACAGAGGTCTGATGAAGTTTCTCCCAGCTCACAGTCAGAGGCAGATAGGTGGTACTTAGAGGACAGAATGGCATATGATGAAGTAGTAAATTCTTGGGCCTGCACTGATCAGGTAGTTCCTCTCCCGTCAGCCTCTTCCTGCTCAAGCTCATAGACAGCTCTGCTCTCAATTCAAGAACTTAAGAGCTTTTTGGCAGCTTAAAGGGTCATACTTTCTCCAAACCCAAGACGTTTGCGGTGTCTCGTTCACCACACCAGTAGCTGAAATTGCTACTGACCCAACAGCACAGTTAGGTGGTACTTTTTTCCCAGCCACTCACCAGCTGGTTGACTATGTTACTAAAACTTCAGTGGTGCCAATTTTTACAGAACCACATTACAGTGGTATTCACTATCAACAGGTCGACATCTAACATTTCTCAAGGTAAAACTTAGCTCAAAGTGGGCTGTTTCCACCTGCAGAACTGTAATAAAGGATCAGAGCACTGACCAAGGAGCACGTATCTTTTGATTACAAGTCATTTCTTAACCTCTACCGCCAGATGGTTTTGGTCACACAACCAGATTAGCCCAGACCCCGCGACTGTGGAGGTGGCTCAGTGCAGGATCGCCTTTGAAATGTAACCTAAACTTCACAGGTATTTCTCTTCTAAGTCTTTTACTACTAAACTATGTGTCAGTTACTCAACGTGCCTAGGTGCTTAAAAAAAAAAAAAGAGTACCTACAAATTTTTTTAATTTAGGATTTTTTTTCTAAACCAGAGAAGACTATCCAGAGTCAAATCTGCAATGATTTCAATAAGCCTAACGTTCCAGTGTTACCTCCCAGATTGCTATATTGATCCTCTCATTAAATTACTATCCCATTTGCCTGCATGTGTTTTTAGTTTTGTGCTTGTACAGAAGACCCATTACTTCTCACTGTTCTCTGTCTTCTGGGGAGCAGCTGCGGTACGCCATCAGCTTTAAAAGCAGTATTCAGTGCCTGATTGGCAGAAGAGCTAGAGGTGGCATGCTGCTTCCTGCTGTGGTGAAATCAGTACCAATCCTGAACAGATCTCAGAAAATATATTAAAAAAAAAAAAAAAAGAAATAATTTCTGATATGTGCACTTTTTTGAGCAAGATAAAGAAAATCCTTCACCATCATGAGAAAGCAAAAAATATCTACCGCAAAAAAATAAATGTTTATTACAGCTATTTTTTGCTTTACTGCTTTTACCTTTCTTTGCTGAGCCAAGAAAGAGCATAAAACAAACACAGAGCAGTGCATAAGCAATGTTGTGAACCGCTTGTTAAAAAAAGCGGTGGCAATTGCATGAAAAAAATAAGAAGCAGCTTAACAAGACATTTATGTCTCAAGCTCCAGCTACATGAATAAAATTTTGCATACGAGGAAAGACAACATCCATTTTTTCAGCTGCAAATATAATTCAAGCTTTACGACCTGAATGCTCCTTTACTCACTCTTTCATCCGCACATGCATCCTTGTGCTATGGAGAGCAATATACCAGGAAAAAGTTTTCGTTTAGTAAAACTTGAACATTTCTTTATGCCCCAGGCTTGGTGGTATGACACGAGACTCTTCAGTGTTTAACAGTACTGGATCTTTAATTTCCTCTTCCGTAACCACTACTAGGTTTTATCATTGCTGAGTTCTATGTTAAAATTACTGAAAAATAAGACTGAATTGTTCCATGAGGAACAACACTAACAACACTTCGTTTCTTACAAAGTCGTATCAGACATCCCAGCTCCCCAGCAATGCCCCACTGTTTCAAGCAGTCAGCAAACAAAATATCCCCTCCATTCTGAAATCCGCTAAGACTACATTAACCTGAGTCCTTCTCAAGTCCCTGAGACAGGAACTAACCAAAAGCAACGTTTCCTGCAACTGCTATTTCCCTATTTACCCACAAATGCTCAAGAGGCACGAAGGGAATTACTTTTCACTAACACCTCATATATCCCATGTAATCAGAATGGCTCATTCCAATCTCCAGTTTTAATCCTTGTTTATAATCTGCAAGCAGAAAACCTGAAATTAAGCATCATTACGTTTAACCTTGGTTTGTATTTAACGCTGTATTTATATTTTTCTTAAAATACAGCTCATTTCAATAACAGCCAGTTAAGGACTGCAAAAGAACACCTTAATGGCTAAGCCCATCACTTATTTTGCTAACCAGTAGTTTATATTGTATCTATAGACATTTATCTAAGCAAGAGCATGTCCTAAAAAAATTTACTCAAGTTCTCAAACTTTACAATATTTTTAACAGGATGAAGTTGGAAAGATGTATAATGTTTCTGAAGTTATTCATTTTTCACTCTGATGTTTAGGAGACTCCATTGAAGGGAACTACAACGGGATTAAACACAACTAACATCCTATGAGAAGGCTGAACAGACAGATTATTTTGTTATCTAACATTCCACATTTAAAATTGAGGTATTAAAGTTTTCTTCCTTCCTGAAGAAACCGAACCTACTTTTTCTTACTTTTGCCATCAATACTCTAAAACTAGGGGTTTTCTTCCCAGTTCTGTTCCTCTATTCCATCATTAAAGAGAGGAAGATAATTCATTAGAGAAGAAAAGAACACTTTCCTATTCTTCCCTCACCCTGAGCCAGTGTTTCTCATTTGCTTCCAATCAGTCGATAAACTGAAGTGAACAGTATATCTGCACCTACAGAACAAGCAACTATTGTACAACATGCTTTACCTCCTCATCTTGTACCCTAAGAGGTTTTACCACTACAATGGATTATCTTTAATTAATAACTTCAGCAGCAAGCATATCTACGCGATATAAATATTTATTTCATTTTAGACTTTCAAAATGTTTGTCAAAATTTTCCATTTTAAAATTAGGTAGGTTAATTTATTTTTTTTTTAATAACAAAGTAAAATTTAGGAAAAAAAACTACTTTTACTCTGTCTTTATAGCCATCTTCTTACATGTATTACAAGATGGTTTATTTTTATATTTATGTGCTGTTAAACCACTCGTTTCTAAATTCCATCGAAAACTGACGCACAGATCATTTAGGGTTCTTAAGACTTTACAGAGTGATCTTTAGGGTGGCTTGGTTAATTTTAGTAAAACATAAAGCTAAACGGTAAAGAATCCCTGGAACTGGGAAATTCCTGGAAAGGTTTGTCTCAGAAGGGTGGCCATGCTGCTGTCCTGTTGGCAAGTGCCAGAACTGCCCCTTGTTTTGTCTCCCCAGAGTCAGATTAGCACTGCCTTGGCAAAACAGTCTCTCTGCTTCGCCGGTACCCAGGCCTCTGATGAGGTCCTGCTAAATTTCTAACGGGATGACTCCATTTTTAACTAGGGCATTATTTGGTTATCCATCTGTCTTGTACACTTAAGAAATACAGTAAAACCAATGAAGATGCACTGTGTCTTTCAAGAAGGCAGAGAGCTGTCTATAGTGATGTAAAGCAATACAGAAGATGCGAGGGCATACGTTAGGGTCTAATGCTTGTAGCTGAACTGTCCACCCAAACCCTTTTATAAGTCAGAGCAAACGTAGGAGCTACTTACAAACTAATTGAGCAGTGATACAGAACATCAGCATATTTTGGGGTACTCAAGCCAACAGTCAGTAAGAGCAACCCATCTTTTCATCCCCAAGCAAGTCAGCACAGCTTACAAAACAAAGGTTTTTGAGCCCAGCTTTAGTCTTTAAACGTGCTCAAGGACATACAAAACAAGGTGGGTGGTTGAGTTTCAAAGAGTGAAGTAGGACTGAGAAGAAAAACTGCAGTGTCACTGAGGTTATTGCTCTGGACCACGTGAGAGCCCGGTCTGCGCTATCTTCACTGCCAAGAACCCAGAGAGTCGCTCAACCAGCTTTCCATGGGACAATGCTCCCTTAAGTCCCATTACAAGAAGCTGGGCCTAGTTACATACTCTAAGATTATTATTCTGCTTTTTAATCAGCTTCACGAAAGACAGCAAAATAAAGCAGCACCATGTCCTTAAAGAAAACAGCTGTTCACTGGCTTTGTGGCACCTAGAATATGCAGCACATCATGCACAGACCCTCCTCCAACCTTAAGCTAATTAACTTGACTTCTGAATTAGTAAGTCATTACCATGGGTAACAAAATCCAAAAGATACTAGCCATTACTGCTTCACTCACAACATGCAGGGATTTGAAAGAGACTTTCTTCATTCTTACAAACCTTTTAAAAAAAGGTCTGAAGCCTGCTTGAAGACACTTTCTCGGCCAGTGCTGCCCTACTCACAGACAAAGCCTACATGTGTTTCTACTTATCTTGAAACTTTCTTTCTGCCTTCAAAATGAAGCAGCGCACTGCTGGTTTGAATGCGAATGGATGACCCAAAGCTTCGTCCCATACTCACATGCTTACTAGCAGGTTGACTCTGAGGTAAAGATCCAGGGGCTAGCACTGGAGAGCTTGCGGGGCTACAAAGTTCTGGGAAGGGATTTGGGATGGCCGGCAAAGATGATGTTCTGAATTGCTGTTCTTCTTCTTGAAGACGCCTATAAACACAAAAGCACTAAGCATTAAGAGGAGTTAAACTGGCATCACTAGACCTGGATCTCCTGCCCCACCATTTATGATAATGATACTAAAGCAATGGAATCAAACCCACTCTTTTTCTAAGCAGCTACTATACAGTTAGAGCAACTGCAAGCACAAAGGAGGTAAGTGCATGTGAAAAATGACGAGTCAGGCATCTATGCTTGTTTTGTTGCTTATAACTTGACTGCTTGGGTGAGTAACTGAGGTAACTGTGCACATAAAATAAACAGAAATATCTATCTGTACTCGCTATTGTAAGCACTAGCTTACAAGCTTAAGCTCTGTGTGCCAGAAAGTCAGTTAAGCTCTTCCAAACCAACGTGGAAGAGGAAAACACAACGGCAGTCACTTGGAGTCAAATTCTGCGTGGATCTGCAAATGAAGGTGTACCCCTGTAAAGTCTCTAAGCTGAGACTGAAACCAATACTGTCACCTCATTACAATACCAGATTCCAGTAATGCAAAGACTCAGCTTGAGCAATGAACTGCAATTACACCAGTTACACCCACCTTACACCAGTTGTATGGTTACTGTTCAGAAAAGTTTGCACCTCCTAACATATGCCTCACGAGTCTACATATGACCAGCAGAGCTGCAAGTTCCAGTTTATAATACACCTGTACTGCCCACATCAACAAAAGGAAAACTGAAGCCTACCAGTTGCCACAGAAAACCTTGAAAAGATGCAAGACCCAGTCACGACCACACAGATTGCTTTAGGTTTCCCTACTGCTGGGGCATCACCACTGAAGGTGTACGTCAACGCCTGTGCAGAAGGCACCATCTAGTGGCAATCCTGGAAGTTTCCAGAGACAATCAACTAACTCCTAGCTTTAAAATGCAAATCCTTAAAAACATCCGTTTGCTCTCCTTTTTCCCCCTGCCTTCAGCAAGCAGAGCCTTCTTAACACAGCTGCCTGGGAGACAACTGCTGGCTTTGCCTCTGGCAGTGTCCCCCGCCCTGGGCACGCTCCCTGTCTCTGCCCGTACCAGAACCCGGGGGCCGATAAAATAACTACTGGGAAATCTGCTCCGCAGGTAACTCTATCCTGCAATTTAGTTGCCTTGGTGTTCCACGAATGAGCCGTACGGATTTGGGGTTTTGCTATAAATAGCAGGTTCCAACCATAACTATAAGCCATGCAAACAACTACTTGACCTGCTCCATTTTTTTTTTTCTGTGCTACCCGTGTGTGCACTTCCCTACAGCACAGGGTAAAGGACGGTGTAAGATTTCTTCAGCCCTGTAGACTTGTCGTATCAGCAGCTGTGTAATAGTGCTCTATATTGCAAGTTTTTGACGGACCTCCATTATAAGAAACGGAACTCCAGACTCGACACAATTAGAAAGGTGTGGTTTTCTTAAAATGAGAATTCACTACACCACATTCTGCTCTGCCTATACTGCTGCACTGCAACATTTACTTCGTGACTGATGCACACAGAAAACTGTGCTCTTAAGAGAATTACCACAGCCAGCCCTTCTGCCCTTCTGTTCTAGCTGCAAGAAAGACACAGCCATCCCCTTCTATGGGAAAGGGGTCTAGATAACCCTGAATAAAAGTTTTGCCATTATTTTCTTTAATGATAAACACATGATGTTGTTGTGTGTATGGAAGTACAGAGTTCAGAAAGGCAGAGTGTTCTCAAAAAACAGTTGCTAAGTTTTGAAATGCCAAAAATGGTTTAAATGAAGTGTTTTGATTGAGATATTTACAAAACATCGACAGTTATAGTACTCTAGAGAGTGTAATTCTAGTATAGCCCTATTTGAGGTTAAATATGAAATACTTGTAAAAATGATTGCATCATTAGCTGACTTGGTTGTATCGCAGTTACTGCATACTACCCATTCATATACAAAAGCTGCCTATCTAAAGAATACCATTCCTATAGGAAACACATCAGTGTAAGGAATTAGTAGCAACCCTTTCCACATCTGGGATTTTTCTTTTATTATTACTTCTCACTTCTTTTGAAGACACTGTTAACTACAAGGAAAGGAAAACTCCAAATCTCTGATTCAGGCAATTTACCCACTCATGCTGACAGGAGCTCCTTCCTTTCCTCCTGCTTCCCAAAATCTCTCTGATTCAGACAATTTACCCACTCATGCTGACAGGACCTCCTTTCCTCCTGCTGCCTAAAAATAAGGTTTTAAGAACCTCAGCATCACCTACAGGCTCTCCTGTCACCACCAAGATTATTCCACTTGAAGCTTGAATTCAAGCCCCCATCCTGACAACAGGGAGACAACTTAAAACACTTTTCTGTTTTGTAATGACTCATACAATGCACTCAAGTGAAAGAGCTGGAAGTGCTCTAGGAAGAACAGAAAAGTAATTATGACGTGCTCCTTTTTGGTTTGTTTGCTTTGCACCGTTCAGAAAACCTCCACAAAGAGAGATATTTTTTTTTTTGTACATCAAAATTAGATGAACGTACCTTCAGCTATCTACATATCTCTTATGTTTTATAAAACCAAGAAGCTGTCAGTAGGCACCATACCTGAGAGAACAGTTTTTAACAGTTTGAAAACGAATCCATATATGAACATCATTTCTGCAAATTGGTACCAATGATACGCTTCTACACATCTGCTGCTACAGTCACATGAAACATTGATTAAAAAAGAGGTGAAAATGCAACATTTTTGCATTTTGCAAAATACATGCAAAGTTTATGTCCTTCACCTACCTGGTACATCTTTTATCCTATACAAAAGTCCAGTCTAACACTACTAGGCTCCTACTGAAATCGATCTCCAATTTGAAAATGTAGTTCTTTTGAAGCTAGTTCAAGACAACTTTAACAAAAAGGAGGCACGTCCCTTGTTCCTACCTGACTGCCATAATGCGCACTGGCTGAGACCGCTGCACCTTCTGCCTTGGAGACATGGGCTGCAGAGCGCCGGATCCCGAGGATGGCAACTGACTGCGGTTGAGCTGTCCATTTTGTAGGAGCGGAGTGGTTTCCGACTGCATGCTGCACGTAGAGTACAAACTTTCAAATGAGGAATTCATGTCGTTTACCAAAGCTTCTAGGTCCACATCGTCATCTGAAAGGCAAAATAAAGGCAGCGTAACACATCTGGAAGTCCCAGATAAATAGAAGTCTGGAAAGACCAAAGACTAAGTTTCTGTAAAGTTATCACATAATTTTACAGTTATATTTTTTACAGTGCAAATGTTTATTGCAGAAAACACTAATTTATTTTAGAGCGGAAAAATGCAGCTAAGAACAGGCAGCAATGGACACTGATTTTGTCTTCCTCAGTGAAAAGCTGCTGACACAGAATGCAGTATTTCTACTACAGTATATATAACAAAAATTTGGTGAGATTTTTAATAATGCCAATGCTAATGTGAAGCGCCACTTCACTTACCGATAAACTGACATACATTTCAAAAGTATATCACAAACACCTCAGTTCAGCTTGTCAATGTATCAAGTTCAGATTGTCAAACACTAATAAATGCTTTGCAAGACTAAGTAATTCAGAAGAAAAAAAAAAAAAACCAAGACAGTGTTGCAGAAGTCAATAGGTGGGAGACACACTCCTCTGCTGTACATGTCAGAAAGCAATCATTATAGTTTGTTAAAAATCCCATCTGTATTTCTGCATATTTTTGTGATATGGTATTTTGAAGGGCAATGCAAGCTTTTAACTGTTGCTCCAAGGACTTTTTATAAAGATCTGTATCTTTGCCCTTGCAATGTGATAGAGAGACCCCTGCCTTAAACAGCTCAAAGTAAATCAACCGGGGCTGTGGTGTGGGTGGTTGGAGGAGGCTGGAGCCCTTAAAAAGTGCACCAACCTTTCCATATATGCCACCTTACCTCACAGTAAATAAGTAACTTGTGCTCATTCGTTCCTCCTTAACGATCATAATTACTCTGCAAGACAACAAAACTCTGCGAGCCCTTTGCGCTAACCACTCTCTGAACTCCTATTGCAGAGTGCTGTAATTACTCCCTAGCCACAAGTTACGTCACTCCCTATCAGGAGTTCAGCGGGCTGACGAACACACACATCGATATCTGCTTCTGGTTACTGCACAGCTACTGCATGAACAGCTACTTCAGACCAAAAACAACTGTGTGCATCCAAAAATGTGCCCTTATTTTCCAGCTGTATCAATCGATCTGGTAAGACATACCATTGCTGCCCACAAACCTTGTATCTCCCGAAATTCTTCAAGACACAGATGGAAAGTAGAGCCAAGCAATGGAGCTAGCAAACATTTACACAGCACTATGCAGCTAAAATATGCTTTTCACTCCAAATATTTTCTGATATCCATTCTTTTGCCACATTTTCTAGGTAAACGAACAACCAGGAGCAGGTATTCAGCTCGTGACCAGTTACGGTACTTTCTTTGAGATACCATAAACAATTTTTGTACCAAGAGCACCGTTCTTGAGGATACAATCTTAAACGGCACCACTCAATTTCTGTCCACCGACAACATGCCTCAATATCCATAACAGGATCTGAACATGACATTTACACAGCAATTGTTTTGAATGCTGATGACCCTACTCCTCAATGTTGGATGAGCCAAAGATCTGCTCAGAATTAAATAGAATCATAGAATTGTGTAGGTTGGAAGAGACCTTTAAGATCACTGAGTACAACCATCAACTTAACACTGACCACTAAACCACGTCCCTAAGCATCACATCCACCCATCTTTTAAATACCTCCAGGGATGGCAATTTCACCACTTGCCTTGGCAGCCAGTTCCAATGCTTGATAACCCTTTCACTGAAGAAATTTTTCCTAATATGCATCCTAAACCTCCCCTGGCCCAACTTGAGGCCATTTCCTCTTGTCCTATCACTTGTTACTTGGGAGAAGAGACCGACCCCCACCTCACTACAACCTCCTCTCAGGTAGTTGTAGAGTGCTCTATTTAATGACTATGTTCCTCACTGAAAGTCAGTAGGCCCTTTACTAAAGTAAAAGCCACTTAGCTTTCACTGAAAAAGTACTCACAGGATTTCTAGGATTGAACATGCGTTAAAAACCACCCCAAAAAACATCAACCCACAAACAGGTTTCTTCCTTTCATTTCTTTATGGTTATTTCCCTCAGTCTCTGTACTTAACAGCTACTACCCTACTACTAAGAGTCACCTTCACTAGGCTACACCATCTTCTCTGTCTGTCAGCTAGTTGATACATTTTCAATAATCTAGACTTTGCTTTGCTTGGACAAAGTCTACAATAATTTTCCTGCTATTTTTAGGGATCTCAAGACAGAGTTGCAATTTAAATTTCATTCCATCCTCCAGATTCTTATCCTATTAGGAGAGGACATATTGAAAACACTTCTTGAGCAATCACAAGGGAACCACAGGAGTAGGAGGATAAAGAGGGAGAGGCTGAATTACACGGCTTTTGAATTTTATCATTCATCTAAAGTACCAGAAGACCGAGCTGTAGGGTGTCAGATGGCTGTCAAGTAAAAGCTTAGGGGTTGGATGAAGGAGACATAAAAGACAGACCCTGGCCACAAACTCAGGGAGTAAATTACAGCAACTAACAGTAATTGTTTAGCAGGGTGAAAAGCAGAAAGGGAAGAAAGTCAAGGCATACATGCCATGGAAGTCTGTATGGCTTGGTCCCCGAGGATGCTAATTTATTAACAACTTAGACAAAGCTATTAGCATGCAAGATCATTAAGTTTTCAGATGATTGTAACATGGGAGGAGTGATTAAGAGTCAGCTCAAGCTATCCCTGAATAATCAAATAGGCACAAAGGTGTAATACGAAGTCTAATATGCATAAAATGAGGCACTTCATGCCAAATACTAAGCAAACCAAGTACATAGTTTAAAGCATTGAATTACCATTAGCAGGCTTTTAAGCATATCAGTTACACACCTGAATTCAATTTCCAACAGGACAGGCACTAACAAGGTGCATAAAGAGTTTTCCTAATAATATGTTGCACTGAAGTCCAGAATCTGGTTTCACTCCTCTGTCAGCTCCTTTTCTCCGCGGGTGCAGCATTGCTAATAATAGCCCTCAGTCTTGCTATAAAACTTTTGCAGGAGTGCAGATCCTTAAGCTTTTTGAAGACAAAGCCTGCAATCTTGAATTTCATACAGTTTCATCTCTATACAATAGCATTTACTTCTAAATACCATTCTGTTTTGGAGACATTTCAGCGTGCTGCAATAGGAAACCTCACTGTTGTAGCCTACCTCCGAAGTGCCAGCAGATGTCTCAGCCTGCCAAGCAATCCAGTATGTTACTCATGATGGCTCTCTACAGAGCTTAACTAAATAAAAATCAAATAAGCTATCCATGGGATTTCTAAGCCACTTGAACCATTTGCAGGTAGACTATTCAGAAGGATATTTCATACACGGTGTGATCCTTCAAACTGTCTTTCTCTATCAGCCAGCAAGATCCAGCCTCTATCAAGACCACAGAATCATAGAATGGTTTGGGTTGGAAGGGACCTTAATGATCATCAAGTTCCAACCCCTGTGCCACGGGCAGGGACACATCCCACCAGACCAGGTTGCTCAAAGCCCACATCCAGCCTGGCCTTGAACACCTCCAGGGATGGGGCCTCCACAACTTCTCCAGGCAACATGTTCCTGTGTCTCACCACCCTCAGAGTGAAAAATTTCTTCCTAATATCTAATCTAAATCTACTCTCGTCCAGTTCAAAACCATTACCCCTTGTCCCATCACTACATGCCCTTGTAAAAAGTCCCTCTCCAGCTTTTTTTGTCATCCTACATGGGGAAAAAAAAATTTCCTCTCTCAATTGAACAGCTTATCACTCCCATGCACAAACATGCAAGCAGCCTTTAGCTATTGAAAGTCATTTTTAAAGGAAAACACTGGCAAAACCTAGCTCTGACATAATTCTGGTGGTGGATAGGGTACTGGCAGTTTTGTAGACTTCTTATACTATAAGAAAATACTTAGTATGCCTGCGAGCAATGTCTTTCCCAAATCAGAACCAAAGTGCACACACTAGCAGCTGTCTGAACTTCATTTTGCTTCTTTGCCCACAACTTGTTAAACTTTGGCTTTGTTCACAAACCAGCTCCACTGGATGTTGCAAGTAATATTTTTGGTAAAGTAAATCATCATTTCAATTACAAGAAAAAATTTAAAAGTTCAATTCAAGGAAAGAAGAAAACTTTGTTAGACAATCTCTGCTGAGCTAGTGACCTAAGCTATCGCATTCTACAAAAACAAAAGCACTTTGAATACCATTTGAATGTTTTTGAGCATAACATAGGAGGAATGATAACCCCTAAATTAGGTCCGAGCAAATTTTAGTCTGTGCTTAACCATGCCCCACTTGTCTTTCTGCTTCTAGCCCTTCTCTGCCCCCCAGACCCTTATTTATTTACTTATTTTGGTTGTTGTTGGCCTTGACACATCAAGCTCCGCTAACAGGACTAAGCAGGATCCCACTTATTATGAAGTGAATGTAATGGTGAAATGAGCCCTGCCCAGTTTCATCCATGCCAGCCTCCTGAAGAAAGCAGGTATTTCCACAGCAGTCAAGGGGCTCATTGCACTGCAGAAATTCTGTTTACTAAAAAAAAAAAAAAAAAAAAGCTGAACATGGAAAGAATCCCAGCTTTGGACTACAGACCAGGATGCGTCTCATGTCGCTAAATGGCAGCCCAGCAAACACCTTTTCCTTTTACCTATGGTCAGCAGTTCATAGGGAATACTATGAAAAACATCACAGGACTTAAATGAGCTGTGATTTAAGAGGATTTTAAAAACTGTATACATACATACATAAATAATTTACAACTTGTTTGCTCATTTCAGAATTTAATTATCCAGCATTATCCCTCGTATCAGTTCACAGAGAAGACTGATGTGAGTGCTACCAGGAATTCAGCAGAAGATTTATAAAAAGGCTACATCACTTTTCTGTCACCATGGAAGTAAGTCTGATACTGTATGAAGCCTAACAGCAGGTATATAAACAAGTGTTTGATATTACAGTAAGGCAGCTGTTGATTGATCACCTATTCCTATTTGACAGCCTAACTGCAGCAATCGGT